ATTTAAATTATATATAATATGTAACTCTTTTTCGAGCAAATGTTGTGATTCAAATTTAACAATACTGAGTAATATTTTCTCTTTTCTAATTTAAACGGTCGACTTATAACAGCCATCTAATTTATACCATCTCTTTGATGAACAATATAGTTGTGTATGAACAAAATGAATAAACTTCAACATAGTTTACAAATGAGATCAATGGTCATGAATTCACCCGTCAAAATAGTTTGTTTTACATAAATAAAACACCCCGTTCTTCACTCTGATAACACAAACATACATCATAACATTTGTTTCAGTCAGTACAAAGAACAGATACTGTAATGGTTTACTCTCACTTTGCCAGCAGGCTGGGGAGATTAACTTGTACGGTCAAGTGACTTGCCAGCTATAGCCTGTTCTGATTATCTGAGCTACTTGATGACTTAGCTGTGACCCACTGTGAGCCAAACTGAACCAATGAAGTGAACTGTGTTCAGCTTAACAGATATGGCTAAATTATTTGATGTGGACATAAATCACTGATTACTATACCTTTCCAAACAGACAAATTGAGTGAGTTTAAAATAACGGGTATATACACTGTATATATATGGAGGGATATTTTGGTCGTAATTTAAAAATCTTAAACAAAACTGCAAATAATCAAATATCTTCACCCCTAAACTTAAAATACCCAAACTAGACACAACACTAGCTAGCCAAATAAATAAACAAACCGACCCAAACATAGCTAAAACTACCACACTAGCATACATACACGAAAATTGGCCAAATTGGTGTCACATTTACACGGACGGATCCTCAGATCCGACCTCCAAACACACAGGTTTCGGAGTCCATACCACACAACCAACTAAAACCACACAATCCTTCCGACTCCCAAACAACCAATCAATATTCACGGCAGAACTAATGGGCATGGCCTCAGCCCTCCATAATCAAGAATCCAAAAAACCAAAAAAAAACCTAATACTTACCGACTCCCTAAGTGGACTGCAAGCCCTCCAAAACAAAAATACCAAAAACCGACCTAAATTAATAAATCAAATACCTAAAAGCTCCAACGACCTAACTAAGGCAGGCAAACAAATAACCTTCTTGCGGATACCCGCCCACGTAGGAATATACGGTAATGAAAACGCCGATAAAGCAGCTAAACTATCCCTCAAAATCCCAGAAATAAGCTTAAACTTACCCATCTCAAAATCAGAAATTAAAAGTGTAAACAAGCAAAAAATCCCAAAAATGGCATAACCTATATCTAAACTCAAATAGCCAAATCAAAAAAGTGCTCAGCAAACCACTAACCAAACCAAAAATTCTCCATCCATCCAAAAAAATCGACAGAGTAATCACTAAACTCCAAACAGGTCAATCCAACCTAAATAACCACCTAAAAAAATATAAAAAACACACTACAGGTAACTGCCCACACTGCAAACAACCAGAAACCCCAGAACACGCACTCATCCACTGCACACACTACCTAACACATCGAACCGCATTACAAACCACCCTCAATCTAAACAAGGCTCTAACTCTAGAAGCAATACTAAACCCACAAAATAAACTAGAAAACTTCAAGGCCTTAGGCGTATTCTTAATAAAAACGGAACTAATAAAACGCATCTAAAAACACAATAACCTACCAAATCAAAATCACATAAATAAAACAAACATCCACCATACCCAGCTCCCTTAGTTCTCCTCCCCAATCCCATCGGCATCTATTCCAAATCTCAAAATTCCCAAATTCTATATAAGCAACCCCTAAAACCCCCCTCTTGGGTTGCACATACCACTTTCGCCCCTTTCGGAAACACATTAAATGGCCTGGCCGGGCCCGTGTGCGAAATACGCATCAGTCGGAAAGCGCACGTTAAATCTCCAAAGTAAGTAAGTAAGTAAGTGCATATTGTGGTCTTTTTGTTACTTTTTGATACTTTAAGGTAATCAATGAAACCCAGGATATGATTTGGAAATCACCTCGTAACAGTAGATATTAACCGTTTGAATAAAGGTTTCTCGGAAATAGTAACTGTCATTTTATACAAACTCAATTCAAAAGGTGATGTTACTATACAGTCTCAGTTCTATTGACTTTCTGTTAAAAATATGTTACTTGTTTAATGGTTTGGGTGTGTGCCGTATACATAAGCTGTGTGCCGATAAAACTAACCTTTCTAGATCTACTTGATCCATGATCACCGTCACTACATATGTCCCGCGTGTAACAGCTGTATATGACTTATTTGTTGCGAACACCTGGTGTCATCACTGCTTATCAGTCACCCATTGATATACAACCTCTACTCTTGGAACAAAACCGCCGTGATATTGCTGGAAAACTGCTAAAAGCGGCGTAAAACCAAACTCACTCACTTGGAACAAAGAATGTAACAATTAAAGACAAACACAAGATGTACACAGCAAGTCGTTCTGTATTATCAACGACAGAAAGCTAAAATACTACAAATACCATTCTGTATTGTCCAGCATACTACAATACCATTCAATATTCTCCAACTTACTACAACACCATTCTAAATTCTCCAACATACTATAATGCCATTCTAAATTCTCCAACATACCACATTACCATTCCATATTCTCCAACATACTACAATACCATCCTATATTCTCCAACATACTACAAAACCATTCTATATTCTCCAACATACCACAATACCATTCCATATACTCCAACATATAACAGTACCATTCTATATTCTCCAACATACTGCAATATCATTCCATATACTCCAACATCAAAAGCCTTGATTAAACTACTGTCAATATAATACCATCTACTAACTGTTCCACTTTGAAATAGGCCTCTCTGAAATATCAATATTAATTTGCAAACATACAGATCCTAGATCCATACATTTTACGTTTCTAGATTGTCCTTTGTATTTTATTTGTACAAGCTCGTCCTCCTTTACCAGCTGTGCACGTGTAATCTAACAATTCGTTCTCTAACAATAAGTTCTGGATTTGATATTGACTATGTGTTACCACTGTGGACTAGGTACATGTATGCGTGCAACAATCCATCGTAAAAGATCAGTAGAAGCCAACGGTCGTATAAATAATATGGAACAGATTGATCACTCATATTTTCCAACAAAATCACATCTGAAAATGAGACATCAGCAAGTACATATCACAAATCGTCAAAATATAAAAAAAATGCTCTCCTTGTTAGTACTTCAAATCTCAGCTTAACATGGGTCCTCCTTTGATCAAAAGTTTGTTCCCTCTCTTACGAGTGTGTCACGCGTTGCACACGAATAGCGAACGGGGTGCACACCCGTGTTCAACGCGTGACGGACGGGTTGCACACGGGTTGCGTCACGCGTTGCCCATGCGTGTAAGGGTAATAAACTTCTAGGCAGTAGTGTATATACTTCTTATTGCGTAGAAACACATAACACGTGCGAGGAAGCGATGTCCCCTCTCGGCCACCATACATAGCCATAATCCATGTCTCATATACCCGTGTCACATACACGTGTATCGCCAGCTCACGGAGAACACAGTTCATGTGTTATACCTCTGTCACACACACGTGTATCGCCATCTCAAGGACAACACAATTCATGTGTCACACCTGTTTCACACACACAGTTCAAGTGTCACACCTGTGTCACACACACGTGTATCGCCAGCTCAAGGACAACACAATTCATGTGTCACACCTGTGTCACACACACAGTTCAAGTGTCAAACCTGTGTCACACACACATGTATCGCCAGCTCACGGAGAACACAGTCCATGTGTTATACCTGTGTCACACACACGGGTATAGCTTGCTCAATGAGAACACAGAATGGTGACACGGTAACTAATCAAAGCGAATATGAAATCCCATATCCCTTCAAACGACACCGGCATGTTTGTCATGCAATACGACCTGACACTGTTAATCGTGCAGGTCTCGTCCTCACAGCAACCTCCCAACACTACACGAGCTGTCACCAGCTATCTACTTCCATACAGCAAACAGGAATGTAAATCTATCATTAAAACAACTAATATCACAAGAAAGGCTCAACCAACTACACAAATCCCCTCCCCCATGGACATACAAAACAATAAATAAACCAGGGGGCTGGGATTTTGTATGGAGACGAGATATTTATTTAATTTCAGCTGCAGCTGCAAAACAAGTAAATGTAATGTGATTGTTCCAGCTCCTCATAAGGCAGATCGGGCTGTATATCGAGTTGAGAATGAAATTCGAGTGCACATTAATTTATTTACCGGGGCAACAACGTTGCACTTTAATCTTCTTTAGGGTGTGGATTTGTGATATTCTCATTATTATACATTGTACACTGATCTTTGGCCTTTATGCATTATTCAATAAATAAATACCAAATAATACTCGACGCACAGATTAACCTACAGTTAAACTAGTGGTTGTGTCCCATTTGCCACACGCCACATTTGTTATTCGGTGTAGAAGTGACTAGCTCAGACAATCCCTACCTGATTAATGGAACAGTGCCGTTATGTCAAAGCTAAGATAATCTCTGTAACCCGGAAGTCAAGTTTCATACAAAGAAATTGTAAAAACTGATCATTCTACTTCGATCTTAACACTAACACGGTGTAGGTTCGAATCCCAGATGGGACTCCACCAAAGAAAGTACCAAAATGTGTACTCTATCAAGAAAAGTCAAATCCCCAAAATATCTATATTGTAACGCTCTTTGTTTGTTTCTGTAGGCGACAACGCGAAAATGTCTATTCTAGGATTCAATTCATATGTTAACTAAGACATAGTGAGAATAAACAGCAAATCAAGTTTTAAGATAACACTGACGCGACAATCGCTATCAATAATACACGCTGAGAATAAATGGGACGATGTCCAGTTGGTTTAAGGTGAGGTGAGATATCATGGAGGTAAACGTCGCATTTAAGATTACAGCGACCCAATTAGGATAGGCCTTAAGGAAACAATTGTTACAATACCTGTACTTACTTATACCTGGGGGCGTCTCTTGACATTCCGGAAGTGACTTCTTATTCACTGGGGTCTGTGTTGTTGTCAAATAGTACTGTGTCGTATTAACTGTCTGTGCAGTAATGTTTCGTAAAGACAGCAACTGGTCCAGCTTTCCTGTGAATAGTATACCTCCAGTGAAAACAAGGCCTATTATCAACGTCCCGAGAAATGATCTTTTAACGAAACCCGAGAACGCAGTCATGCTCTTGCGAGATAGCAGGACCGCGTCTAGCCGACAACGCTGGACACATTCAAGTTGGCCTCATTCAACAACTGTTCATGCGGTAGTCCGTGGCCATCGTCACACGGATGCGCAATACGGTTGGGGCTGCTTGTTAGAGAAGATACGGTCATATGACTGGAAGAGGAAGAATTAGACTTAGTGTACATTCAGAGCGTTGTTAATCTGGTAATTTAAACAAATTATACAAGATGATATAGTTGTATAAAAGGCATATGGCCCATAGTAGAAATATATTACCTAACAGTACATAAGTGTTACAAAACATATTCAGATTTGTTATTGATGATACAGAAATAAAATATAAAGCAAAGTTTAATATTATATCGGAGTTACTTGAGTGACAGGGTCTTTCTAAGTCAAAGCATTGGCTCTTGACACTTGGAATAAACATATTCCTCCCTGTCATAAGGCGGACTATTATAAATCACATGAACCCGTGAACATCCTTGTTAGAATAGGTCTTCGGGAACCCATGCTTGTCGATTATTAACAGACCGCCGTCATATAGCTGGAAGATTGCAAAGTCCGACGTTGAAAAACAAACAAACAAACAATACATGTTGTTCATCATCGCGAACATTACATTCTTAAATAAACTATCTGGATCGTTATTCAGAACAATATTTTTTTCTAATTAAAAAATTGTACGCCTATGTTATTATGCCCAGTCGCTGACAGATCGTTTGCAAACACGACTTTGGTTTTACTGCCAATGATTTTGAGGTTGTTTATTTTACAATAATCTTGAAACATTACCAATGCCTTTTAAGATCAACTGGGTTTTTTTTCGCAATCATAACTATCATCAGTATGATGCAGTACTACGAGCTTACTAAATAGTCTTTGTTCATTTCAAACACCGTTATTTACAGTGTCAAATCATTACTCAAAAGGAAATCACGTAAATACTCAGATACATGCCGTCATATACACTCTTCAAAAAAAATAAATCACAGGTAGTATGTAGTTCATTGAACCTGACTCCACAAAAAAAATCCGGTATATAAATTGGATATATGTTATTGGAAAATGTTGATGGTCTTATATTCGACAAACGGTGCGTCCAAACGCAGCCATTGTCGATTTGCAATGTCTGAAACGGCATTGTTTTCACAATTGTTCAAAAACTTCTCTCTCTCTCTCTCTCTTGTTTGTTAATAAGTAAAAACACACTTTCATGAATAATACCGAGAGTTTATCCTTCATTAGTGGCAGTGATAACATCAGTAGACTTGTTTTCTACCCAGGAATTAGCCACAATAATAAAAGTGAGTGAGTGGGTGAGTGGTTTTACGCCGCTTTTAGCAATATCCCACTGAAGAGACTTCGAGTCAAACGAGATCAAACCAATTATATTATCAACAGATTTAATACCACTTATTTATTCTGGGTAGATTTGGTTAAAATGTGTTTGGGTCCTTACGGCAATAGAATATGTATTACCTTGGAAACAAAATCCAGTGAAACACCTCTTCGTCCCTTTTGTTTAACCTTCCAGCACGCGTGTGTGATAACGTATTATATATGTCAGCTAATCTCATTTATTTGTAACTACAAAGTGGTCTTACTACGTACTATTTATTGTCTGTGGTTTTGTTTCAAATATTGCATAACTTTACCTTTATAAGCACTAGGATCTGTTGCAGAGGTTTTATGCGCGGTAACTGGTTACAAAACAACCCCTGAGCTTCTTAAAGTTATTGGCTAGTCATGTAGGTTTAACCCCCCAAATGTTGTTATAGGGGATTAAGAGACACAGATCACTTAATCGCTTAGTATAGTCTGCATCATTAAAGTGAACCCTCTTCTGAGGGTGAACTCTGTTCAGTGTCTAACTGTTATTTGACGATAATAGGGGAACAGTTTTCTCACGTACATGATTAAATGCATAGGGAGGATTAAAATTATATATTAGTGATTGATGGCAATCTTGGAAGTGTATAAAATGGCATTTGCAAGTCATACTTAGTTTTCAACGGACACAGATTCCGAATTAAGAACATAAGAAACGCCACCATACATTGGCGTTTCTGCAGGAAGGAGTGTCCGGCGACAATCAACGCTGCACACATTTTATGAATCTGACAGATAGGGATTAGGGCTTGTAATTTTCTCTATATAGACATGCAACAGGCTGTAGGTAATCCCTCCTATTGTTACCCACTATTGTGCGTGTGTGGTACGGGGACACCTCGGTTTGCCGGTGTCCCGGTATAAACTCTCCCCCGTACAAATTCTCCCCCCGGAGAGTTTATACCGGTACAGATTCTCCCCCGGAGAATCTGTTCTGAAATAAAATCTCCCCCGGGCGGATATGTTTCGCGCCCCCCTCAGTATAAAGTCTCCCCCCTGATTATTCGGTTTGTTGCAATGTCTTTCAGTACTATATTCTTTAAATAGTTATCTTTAATGTAAGGAGGGTTACTTTAAAAAATAGATTATGAAATATGGTCATAATGAATTGATATTTCAGCATATTTTATTTGGTAACTGTACCTTCCATCCTAAAATAATTATAAGACATAATCACACCAAACAAATTTGAATGAAATGACTTAATGTAACAAATACATGTACGGTTACTGTTGTAACAGAACTCAGGAATCTTAGTAATCCTCGCAAACATTCGGTTTTACCACTAACTACGTAAAAACTGTCAACATACCCACGCGCGCCTCAAGCTCAGGCTGTCCGATATACTCTGATTTCAGATCTAAAATATATTCCTTAATACAGGCTACGATTTGAAAATGGTATCAGTGTAATATCAGTGGCTAGAATATCATGGTGCAAGCAGGTTTCTGTTAAACATACAACATCATAACTATCTAATTCAGCACTGATAAAATCTACTTTGTCTTTAAGACTGCGTACGTTTAGATATATAATCTTTAAATCTGGACTATGCAAAGGTCCTGGATTCGGATGGATATCACCGCAGCCGAAGAGAAAAAGTAAAACTAAGAATGATAATCGGAAATTAGATAAACATATTTAAACTAGAAATTATGTCCAATGAACATGTTGTATTGAAGCAATTGACCTTGAATTTGTTTTCCAAAATATGCTATCATGCTTATGAAAGTGCTATCCATAAATACAGAGTTTGTTGTTTCTAATACAGTTTTTGTTGTCTATATACATTTTTTTAATATACCAGTTTGAGTCTACATGTGAACACAATCGAATGTAAGTCTAAGAACAAAATATGAACTAATTCTCAAGAACTCCTTCATCTTTGACTGACTGATGTATTTTCAATCTTTATTCAGCACTGAAGAGACACCATGCTATAGTACGAAGCATTAAGTTTATGAAAAATCAGCATTGATTTTGACTCCATAAACTGTCATAAAGTATTCATAAAGTATCAGGGGTCATTTCAACTTGCAAAATGATTGACATAGTCCTTTATAGAGCGAGGATTGGGCTGTTTTCCCACCCGATTGACAGATATTACATGGTTTAGAACGGTACAATGAATGGTTAAGCATGCATATTACACTAATACGCGATATTTCATAAGAACATAAAACCAATATTTATGAGTCTACATATTGATATAAGACTTTATCACTGTATCCAATTCCAAAATTTTAGATATAAACTTAGGACAGTTCAGTTTAAAATTCTTCAACCTTTAATTCATCACAGGATGTGTAGCTAGACGACGGGAATCTATAGTCTTGACTGTGTTTTCTTTGATGAGAATGTTTCTCACCGACCTTAGTGTGTAGGGGTGTGATATCCTGGGCAGGAAATGACAGTGTTTTGACTACTCCTCTTTCATTAATTAACGTGTTGGGCATCCCTAGTGAACCTTTACTAATTCATGTTAAACCAACACAGGATGTTTTCTGGAAGTGGACAATCGCGAATGGCATAGGGCTGACACGACACGTGTTAATAACTTCTTAAGTTACTAAACAATCTTTGTACCTAACGACTAGCACATAAACATCGTCTCTGATTTGACCGTGTGCGAAATACGCATCAGTCGGAAAGCTCACGTTAAATCTCCAAAGTAAGTAAGTAAGTAAGTAAGAAGTGATTTGCTTGTCTAAAGATGTAAACACATTTGATGATACATCTGTGTGTTTAAAGTTGATTTTGACAGCCCGGGCCAAGTCGGACCGAACACTTGTGAGACAGTTGAGAGTATGGGGAGTATGGGGAGAAGAGGTCTACTTTAACCAACGTGTCTGCTTTAAATACGATGAACAGTGACATTATAAAGTGGGATTTGACAGACAGACAGAATTTTATTCAGTAAAGAAGGCCATAGTTACAATATATTTTGGATGCGCTCTATTAGCTAATAAACCTCAATATAAATATAGAAACAGATAGCATACTGACAGTGATGGGATTATATAAAGTGTTATAAAAATCTGACAAACTAAGATGTTCCAGACGCTTCAGTTAGTTGTTTTCTTTTCTTAGTACAGTGAACCCTGAAACATTTCATATAGTGATAACTGTAAAAATACTAGACATCCCCTCTGATACTGAAAATGGTATACAGAAATCTGGAGAAATAATATAATATCTCAATTTGATCTGATGTACACAACATATTTATAGTAACAAATGATTTATTCTTTTTTTTCAACTCCTCTAGAAAAACCTTTCGGCTATCTTCATACCTAGGACATTGAAATATAATATGATTTTCATTCTCAAGAACATTACAAAAAAAACAAATTGCTTCTTTATCCTCTTTAACACATTTACCTTTTCTAACATTCTGGATTCCAAATGAATTAAAACCACTTCTGAATTTTAACAACGCTCTACTAAATTTAGTTACATTCATACAAACCACATATTTTTCACATTCTAACAAAGATTTAAATGAGGAATAAAAAACAAGCACTTTCTTTTGTTCCACATCTGAATGCCAATCCTGTGTTGCACAATCCAACACTCTTTGCTTAAATATGGTTAGAAATAACTGCTCATCTCCCACTTCATGCGATACCCATACTACTCCAAAACCATAAAAACATAATAAATTTCTAACATGAGTGGCCCAAATAGGTTGTTTCCTATCACAACAACTTCTTAGCATTTTATAACACTGATATGGGTACCTACTTCTGGACATGGCGATA